AGACTTGCAGCTGCTGCGGAGCCTGCGCTGCGGTAAAGCAAGAAGGTGTGGCTAGTCTGTAAGCTTTGGAGGCAAAAGTTTATGCGCATGCGCAGAGCTAATTAGGACGACTGGCAGGGGATTTCCCCTTACTGTGTTCTGGCTGTCCTCCCTTTATCTCTCTTTCGTTCCTCTTCCCCACTGAATCTGAGTCATTATGAACTTAGAAACGTCGTTGGTGGCTGCCGAAAGAGGGTCCACTAAAGTCTACAACTGGGACTTTGCCGGGGGCAAGTGGGTCAACTTCTCGCCCACGCACAAGTACAGCTTCATCAAGATCGTCCAGAAGAAAACACTGTCTGGCAACGAGTTTTTTGTGGTGATAGAACCAGATGAAACCGATAATGTATGAAATGCTATACCATAATGTACTGTGAATGATTCTTCCATTGTCTTTCCTCTCTTTATACACATACATGTGTACATGTAGACACTAAGGTTCCATCTGCCCACTGATGTACAAGTCACAAAAACTGGTGACATGATTCAGTTTGCAGTACCTGATCCACAAGATCCTACCGGTGGAAAACTCATTGCCATCAAATTTGAAAACAAAGATTTAGAGAAACAATTTACAATGACGGCCAGTCGAAGAATAAGTAAGATCGAGATTTTTATTGAATCATCTACATATGCTACCTCTCTCCCTCTCTCTCTCTCTCTCTCTCTCTCTTTCCTTCCTCCATTAGACGGCTTTATGGCTATCAAACCAGCTCAAGCTCCTGGTGAAGGATCTAGCAGTGGTGTGTATGCATAGTAGCTAGAGAATGATTCTCATGTACATGTAGTTTTTGTGAGCATTTTAACCATTTTAGCCATTCAAAGGGTAATGCCTTAAATTATCTTATCCTCTCTCTCACACACACACACATATACTTTATACCAGGTCAAAGATCAAATGATTTGAATAAACCTCTAGAGGTTAAGAAGCAGAGACCTGTTTATGAAAATACCTTTAGCACTGATAGATATGACGGCTCAAGCTATCAGTCTCCTACTCTTCCTTCAACTGGGACTGGAGGAGCTGGAAGGACTCAACCACATCATCGTCCATCCACTGCAGCTGTTCCTGCTAAACCAGCTGTTGAAACAAAGAGTAATAGATCAGGAGAAATTGGACAATACCACCAACAACCAGTAAGACTTTGTGTTGTATGTACATGTGGTTAATAGTCACTCTGTCTTCCTACCTCCCTTCCTTCTTCAATCTCTCTCTCTCTCTCTCTCTCTCTCTCTCTCTCTCTCTCTCTCTCTCTCTCTCT